ACACACACACACACACACACACACACACACACACACACACACAGAAGCCCGGCTTCAGATCGCCGTGGCAACATTTCCATGGCGACGAAGCGCTCCCTTGTCCTCCCACTCGTCTCTCATCAGTCTGAGGAGCAGACAAAAACTCCTCTGAATATTACATTGTTCTTCTCCTCCTCTTTGTCTTTCTCTTATGTGTCCTACTCCTCCTCGTTCCTCCTCTTCTCCGTCCGTGTTTCCTCCTCCTCCTCCTCCTGCTCGCATACAAGTACGGGGGTCCAGCAGATGGAGGTGAATAAAACCTACATCTGCTGATGCTCGATGGAGGCGACTGTGACGTATCAGAATGAACTCAGCGCTTTATGTTGTGTATCCTGTCTCTCTTTGTGTGGTTTGTGTATTGGTTGGTGTGTGTCTCTTTGACAGACATTTTGTAGTTGGCCAGAAGGTCCATTAACATTTTTGGTCCTTTGGCCTGCAGCCATTAGATGTGTGTGTGTGTGTGTGTGTGTGTGCAGGACACCTCATTGCGTGCTGCAATGTGTGTCTTAATCCCCTGATGCCATCGCAGTGACACCACGTGTGTGTGTGTGTGTGTGTGTAGAGATGTGGGGAATACCTCAGTGTGTTATCTGAGATGGTAGAGATGTGTGTGTGTGTGTGTGTGTGTGTGTAGCCCATGATATCAGAGTGGAGTTACGCAAAGCGCTGATTCATACTTCACATGAGTGTTGAACGGCTGCAGACTTCACCATTGTTTACACACACACACACACACGCACACACACACACACACACACACACACAGACACACACACACGGTACGCACACTCTCCTCCTTGACCTTCTCCATGGGACAGGCAGCTAGCCCCTGCAGCGTAGGCGGGGAAACCCCGTTCTGGTCCATGGCGACAAACAGCTTCCCGTTGACATTTAGAGTCGGATAGAACACCTGGAAACACACACACACACAGACACACACACACACACACACACACACCATATGTTATATTTGACCTAATCTACATGATCTCATTTATTATCTAAGATTTAAGATAATCTCACTTTGCCTCATTTCATATTATTTCTCACCAAAGTTCTTCTCATTAATCTCACTTCATAGCTCCGCCCCCTCCGGTCTCACCTGGGAGCTCCTGCTGGCGTTGCTGTAGGTGCTGGGCCTCCGTTTGGGCCACGGTTGGGGCAGCGTGCCGCCGAAGGTGCCGCCGCTGTAGGTGCGGCCCCCGACGCCCTCCACCACGTCGCCCGGGACGCTGTACTCGTCGTCGGCCATCTCGCCCTCGGACCCCCGGCTCCTCAGGCGGAAGTTGAAGACGGAGGAGACCTGGCTGCTTCGCCGGGTCCTGGAGGAGAAGGAGCGAGCCAGGAGAGGATGGAGGACCTGGAGGAGGACGCAGCCCGAGTTAAAGTCTGAATGCGTCTGAATGAATCTGAAAGACAAAGCGTGTGTTCGTCCTCCGTCACCTTCCCCCCCTCCGGCATGTCCACCTGCAGCAGCTTCTCCTCCGACAGGTTCGCCTCCACGTCGGACACGCCCACCAGCGCCTGACTCCGCCTCCGCTCCTCCACGCCGTCCGAAGGCAGACCAAACGGGGAGAGATCCGGTGACATGGAGTCAGAGTCCAGGAGCTTCTGGGCGGCGGCCTGACAAACAAAGTCTTAATTGGACGGATCCAACTCGTACAGTATATGACGTAGTCATGGTTACGTAACCCGCTGGTTGGAGGACTGACATTTTGAAGCTCGAAATTGACTTTGCCAATTTTTGCAATTCCGGCGCCGAGACCTGTCAATCACCCTAAGCCTCGCCCCAAAGCATCCCCTGCTTCATGGTCTGTTTGTCTCTAAATGGACCATCATTCACTAAATGAACATCATCTGTGTTGAAGAAGACTTGACCATGAACTCATGTTTACAATGTTTACTGACGGAATAAATCAAGGACAGAAGTAGAGTCATTTCC